ATATATATATATATATATAAATATATATATGTGTGTGTGTGTGTGTGCTTATAGTTAGTGTACTCATGCAAGAATTGCTCAAGAACCAACTTAGTACCATACCTTCCATTATCAAGGATTAATCAAACAACAACATTTCCAATTTTTAAAACAAACATGTACTTATTGTGTTCCACAAATAGAGCACTTTGTTTGGCTACATCTTATAGATTAATTCATGTCAATGTTGACAATCAAATGCTTGAGGCACTTCTCTTGGTGCAAAAGAGGCCACCAATCAAGAAGCTTTGAGAAAACCTTATTTACTCGCCTTCACCCATAGTCCCATAGAAAACACCACTATTGAAAATCTTACATCCACAATGGTTCCTTTGCACTCCAAATTCATAGCATTCTATAGTGCAATCTCAATACTTTCCAAACACGCCTCACTTAAAGAATTCAAAACTATTACCACACCTCCTTACTCAACATAATGGAAAAGCCATTCTCTTTTTGACCATTTGAAATTCCTCTAATCAACTTATTCATGTAGAGTGTACCATCAAAAACAAGATCACTTTCTCCTTTTTTCTTGTTCACACGACTATTCTTCTCTCAAACTGTTCCCAATCTCCCTAAACTTAAATGTAAAAATTAATTTAATTAATTGGGAACCAAATTGAAAATATAGTAGTATTAGTATTAAAATACCAAATGGTGACATGGCCCAAAATTTGAAAATTATTTAATACTTCATTTTATTAATTCAAATTGACAGATAATCATAAAATCATTTTATACATTGATTTGAATTTATGAAACGAAATATCAAATGGTTTTCAAATTTTTTAAAAATTTGCAGATTTGATCTGTGCATTAAAATTTTTAAATTTAACGGTTAGATCGTTAAAATTTGATATAAAATATGAGTTATTGAACGAAGTAACTTTAGGTAGATTTACTCATGGAATAAACAGATCCCTAATCATATATAATAAATTAGGAGAAGAAAAAACAATGGGAAACAAGAAGATTAGAAACTTACTTTTATTGAAGAAGATGAAATGGAAGACAAATAGTGCTACATGAAAGAGAAAAAGAGAAAGACACTTTCTTTTAAAGCAATGGATGCATTCGACAATGAGAAATGAATAAGGCATCGTGAGACATCAAGAACTACATGGATGTCACAATTGAGACAAAGTCAAGAGAAGAGTAGAATATTTCACACCAACAAAGAGTAGAGAAGCGTGCACAATAAGTTTGTCTTTCTAACTTTTCATATTTAAAATTAGTTTTTTTTAATTCTTAAAATAAAATTATTGTACGCATTGGTTGAAATCATGCCCAAGGCGTGTCTTCAAACTTCATAATTTATGTGAGAAGTTAACGCAACTGAGAACTGTAACTTTATAATTTATTGGTTTTCAAATTACTATCCTCTTAATGCCAATAGTACAATAAGAGCCAAGTCCTTACCACTCACATTTTATTACATTGTTCTGTGATTAAAAAAAAAAAAAAAAAACACATGCAAACACGTAGGACTGTGCATGAGACCTCGGAGAAACAAATGCTGCAGCAAGAGCGAATAATTAATGAATATGATCAAAGGGTGGGAGGAGTAACGGTGCTGACAAAAAAGTCCTCGTCAATTTTTTCATCGTGGCAGCACTGAAAAGTGGTGAGCACGTGCATGTTGCGGCGACACTCGGGGCACGTGAGCCTCTCAGGGATTCTCCCCATTGAATGGGAAAACTCGAACCTGCAGCAAGGACTAATAACCGAATGAACCTTGTCGTAGTGACTCTTAAAAGCTTGTTCAAACCCGTCTCTCTCAGCATCACCTTGCCACACACCATCATACTCTACTAAGGTCTGCAACCCCGTCGTGGCATGCCCATTCACCACGATGTGGGACCCTCTCGCGAGAACCATCCACCCACCCTATTATTAGAATACAAACAAAGTCTCACATAGTAATAACACAAAAGTATAGAGATGAGTTTATAAGCATTCATAGAGTTTCCATTGGAATAAGACATTTTAGGTGATAACTAAAAGTAAATCTATGAAATAATAATCTTGACAATGAGTGTGTTTGAATACAAGTTTACGAGTGTAGAGAGCTTTTTTATCGAAAAATATTCTTTACTTTGGATAGCTAAACTCTCAAAAAATATTTTTAACTTGTATTCAACCAGACTCAATATGATGTTAACATGGAGCTATGTGTGAATTCCCCTGTGTATATCTCTATAAAACAACCCATCACCTGTTTGTCGTAGCTTAGAAGCTTCTTGATTTCCTGCATCACGTGGTCCTCGTCATCGGTTTGCTTGAGTTGGAGCTTGGAGAAGAGCATGCTCTGAAGACGGGTCCAGAAGAACCATATCATGCTCTGCTCTGACCAGTATTGTGTGTTGAGCTTGTCGCGAATTATGGTGTCGATGATTTTCTGCACTTGCTCCCTCTTGTTGCTCTTCCCGACGTACACCATCTCTAAGGGTATTTGTGTGGCGTTTGCAACCCTGCGGGCTTCCTTCACGAATCTTCTTACCCATTCAGGGTCGTCACCTCCGTACAAGAAAATGTATTTTCCATCCTTGATCTGTGTGTGCATTCACAAATCGACAATTGGTTAATTTTCAAGACAAGAAAGGCTACTAATTTGTAACACATATTGTGTTATTCTCTAAAGTTTGTGTTAAATTCGATAGATAGAGATTTATTTACTGGAAATCTCACATTTAATGAGAATGGCATAATAGAGTATAATTGGAGAAAAATCATCATTTTACAAGATAATTTTGTAAAGTTAAATTAGAGTCATAATTCACTTTCTAAAATGGTAGTAGAATCTATCCTAAACATTATCTAGTGTTGCTATCACTAAAGACATGTTGTCATTATGGATGAAAGCCTGTCACAACTACACATAATAATATTCATGTCTCCTTGAGAACTAGTTGCCATACTTTTGACCCTTTTCCCGTTAAAACTTAAATGGCTCATTTGGTTCTGTACAAGTTTAACCATAGAGTTAGCAACTTAGCAGTATGCTTTTAGGTTGGGGGCTGTGTTGCTAAACTTTTCGTGACATTCCTATTGAATTCACAGAGTTCTATACATAGTAAAAAAACACTGGTAGTTTTTTTCGATTGGATAAAAACTAATCTCATTTGCCATACTTTAATTGCTACTGACTAAAAGAGTTTTTGCAGGGACAGGGATACATCAATTAACGTAACATATGAAAAAAAGTGCCTAACTGTTAGGTGAATCCTTCATGTTAAAACATTGGTAGTCAAGGGAAGAAAAAAGGTTTTCTGATTGACAGAATATATGTATATATATGCTTACCCAGTTCAATATTTCTGAGTCAATGCCATCTACCAGCAATTCAAGTCTCCAAGTCTCTTCCTTCCATAGAGCTTCTTCTCTAGAACTTGTGAAGGGGTAGGCAGCACTTCCCCATATCCACATCATGTGAATAGCATTGGGGCAAGAAACCCTCCCTTGTGGGTCCAAAACCACAAGAATAGGCTTATTCTTGTACTTCCATTCACTTTGGATGAACCAGATAACTGGCTTTCCTATCAAAGAAGGATGAAACACTGAGTACCATGACATGTTTTCTTGCAGGCTCTCAAACTGCTTTTGCCTTGGGTCTTTCCATTCAGAGTTTGGGTCCACAATGGGGATCCAAACCAACTCATATCTACTCTCCATTCTCGGTGCATGAGCCTTTGATTCGTTGTAGATTTGTTCTAGAATAAGAAGCTCGTCGGTGGAAATCTCCATGCCTGAAAATAGAAGCAGCACGTTCTTCCTTCTCAGTGGCTCAAGGCTAACCTGTTTGTTTCCATTAGTTATATAAACATTAGCATCATCACCATTTTAACGCTCTCATCCAGCATATAGGTAGATAGCGTAGTGTTAGAAAATCAAACCCTTTTCTTGGTAACACCATCGTATAAAGGTAGAATATCATCCTGAGCGTATATCAGAGCCTTGAGAACCTTCATATTGTCAGTATGTGGTTTTGAAAATAATTCACGTAGCATTTGGTAAGCTTCAGCATCCATCTTTTTCCCTGCATTGAATGATGGTATTAATTATTAGGTGCAGTTTGGTTACAGAATATTTTGGCTTTTCAAAAATAAAATAACATTTTGGATGCCCAAATATTATTTTCCTTCTTACACCATGCAAAAACAATGTAACAATTTTATAATAAAAAATAAAAGTAGAAAATATTTTCTCCAACAAAATGGACCTCCCTATTGTAATCATTTCAATTTTTTATGATTAATTTATTTATGGATAGATAAAGAGATGAATATAAAAGTGGCATACCAATATGTTCGTGGCAGCTATGCAGTAGCTGCCTGAGATGGTCGATTATGTTTTTGAGCTTGAAAGTCAATGTGGATAGCTCCCAAGCGTCAGTGGATGTGAAGATCCTGAAACAGTGATTTTGATATATTATATGTGAGTGTCTTATTAAACAAACACTGCATTTAGTAATTAGGTACACTCATACACCATGTCTTTCAATCATGTGCTTCGGTTGATTCATTCATAAAGAGAATGCAAACCCTGTAGTTGTTAACAAACATAAAAATCTTGAAAATTGATGAGAAAACATACTCATAGCCAAGTGTAGTGAGGCTGGTAATCTGAGCTGCACAAGCCACAATACTTCTGATGGTCCAGTAGGAAGCAACTGGAACATAGTTATTGGCAGTGGTGTAGGCTGTCATGTCTTGTGTGATGTACTGAGTTGGCAGATCATGGAACTCTATCACAACCTTGGTCACCTCCAAAATGACACTAACTAGGTCATTAAGGGCATCAAACCGTGGTTTCAACGTGTTTGCATGCTCCATGATGCTAGGTAGTTGCTTCAGAATTGCCATTGATTTTGCAAGCTGGTTTGTGTCATGAATTTGAGCAAGAAGCCAGAATTCACCATAAGTCAGAGCAAAAGCGGCTAAGGCCAACACTATCTTCACATCCCACTTGTAGATTGTAAGCATGTCAAATATTGCAACTGTTGTGGAGTGTGCATCTATACCACCCAGAGTCTTGTAGGAAATCTGAAATTTCACGTGGTTTTGATATTGTTAAGTTTTTACGATTGGTGGAAAAGTATGCATGTAGCTGATGTTCTGGCTGTGTTAGGCATGAGTACATGCCAATCATTAATGAGGAAAGTAAGGTTTGGACTTGGTGGGTTTACTACATCCTTCTGATTTTTTTTTTTTATAAAAACAAATAATATAATAAGTTTAATGATCATGCACTAATAATAATGCATAACAGTACCCTTTTTCTCATAATATAATAGTGTTTTTTGTACTATTATTTGTTTCTTGTAAAAAGGATTGGAAATATTATTATATACCCCCTTTACAAATTAAGAACAAGATTTCTGTAAGTAGTTCAAACTCTTGTGACAGTTTTTCAAGCCATGTTAACATTGTTTCAGTGAGTACACAGAGAATGACATAAAAATCTTGGTCTAGGATATTTTTCTCTTACCTCACAGGAAATTCGATCAATCTTAGCAGATAGAGCCTCCAGCATGTTTGTGTGGCCAGGATGGTGGCTTCTGTCTTCGATGTGATCAACACGAGCATGGGGGCCCTGAAAGAAAGTCCAGGTTAATCAGAAGATAGGAAAATCTTAGACAAATCAAAATCTTAATTAAAACCAATCCTCAGTGAACATGATTCGAGGGAGAAAAAAAGAGAAACTGATATTGAAGAAAAATGTTATTAGATTGAATAAAATGTGTATTTATAATATAATTGCGAGAGTTTTATATCGGCCAACTATTAATTAAAAACTTCACCTCAGATACTTACAACGTGTGTTCTTTTTTCAAAGTATAGGGACTAGGACCTATTTTGACCAAAAATTGAGGTATCTAAAACATATCTTACACTTTTTCAATTGTGGAGTGGGAGTAGGAAATAAAGAGGAAACAGGACAGTATTTAAGTCCCCAAAATATTTGCATAAGCAACATTTTAAGCTATTAGCATATCATACCCTTGCAGCATCTTCAGACCTCATGTTGGAACGTGTAAAAACATCCTCAACTATGAGAAGAAGGGGCCTGACATCATATTCTATCCCCTCAGGGTTATGCTCTGTCGCAATTTTCTTCACCAAAACGCTGTCATCAGATATTGCGGCCGCAGGCATCACTCTTCCACCTTTTACCATTTGTTGCATAGCACCCAACTTGCCAATGCTATTCATGGTGAGCTATACAAAACACAATGCAGATCAAGAACTCTAGCTTTGAGTCAAAGAGACAACAAAAGGCTTGTGTAGTTGCGTTTCAAGTGCAATGTGATAGGCCTACATATAATAGATAGAAAGGAATAAACCCCACTTGAATCAACTTCCTTTCTTTCCACATAATTAAGTTCTTGGGACGTTAAGAGGAAGAAAGAAAGAAAGCCTTAAAGGAAGAAAGAAAGAAAGCCTTAAGCTTCTTTTGTCCCATGTCCCCACCTCTTCACTTTAGTATCTATCTTAAAAATATAGATTATAGGCCTAACTCAACATGTAAAGAACTAAGCACGTGAGATTTGTAGGATTAGACATTAGTGAGTAGTCTAATAACAATCTATAGTAGGTGATCCAAAAAAGATTAACAACAATAACTAGGATAGAGGCTGTTAAAGCAGTAAAACTTTTCCTTTGTTTTTTTCTGCTATAATTAATTATTGTTGCTTGCATTAGTGGGTAAAGTTCTGCAGTAATTATGTTTACTTAGTGCAGTAGATAATATCTTGTTAGGTTTCTGATTTTAGGCAAATCTACACACTTAATGATGGTGGAAACATGTGTTTTACTGACAATATTTATGGGCTCTATGTATGGCTGTCATTTTTCATGTATTTACCTTATATATGAATGAAAACAAGCAGAATGGTATGGTTGTTCAGCAAATACGAAATTGCTCTGTTCCCTAACTTTTCCTCTTCTCTGTTTTATGGTTTGTATGGTTTTTATGTTTTATGCTTCTGCTGCCCATTGCTTGTCTTAACAGTGGTATCCAGAGCATTGTTCTTATAGGCCGTGGGTCTGAAAAAAAATTGAGAGGAGAGATTAAACACTTGTGAGTGAGTGATAAAATGGCTTCGGGGAATAATGGTGTATTTGCTGTTCCTCAATTTTCTGGGGGAAAACTATCACACATGGATTGTCAAAATGAGATCATGTTTGAAGTCTTTTGGCTTATGGGAGTATGTAGATCAAGATAAGGAAGTTCCACCATTGAGGGCTAATCCTACCATAGCTCAAATGAAGCAACATGAGGAGGAGACTTTGAAGAAGGAAAAAACTGTCTCATGTTTACATTCAGCTTTGACAAGGTTCTAGAAAACACTTGTTCTCTTATTGTAGATAGTGGGTCTACTTCCAATTGTTGTAATACTAGATTGGTTGATAATCTAGCCTTAACTACAAAACCTCATCCTAAACCTTATAAAATGCAATGGATCAATGAGGAAAGAGGTATTGTAGTTAGCCAACAAGCAAGCATAGCAATCTCCATTGGCAAATATAAAGAAGAAGTTTTGTGTGACATAGTGGCATTGGAGGCTAGTCATGTCTTGCTTGGGAGGCCATGGCAATTTGACAAGAAAACAATCCATGATGGCCTCACAAATAAAATAAGTTTCCAACACTTAAGTAAGAAATTTGTGTGGTTTCCTCTATCACCCTCTCAAGTGAATGAGGACCAACTCAAATTGAAAGCCAAGAAAGACAAAGA